GTTGTTGTTACACCCTCGCCGAAAATCGAACCCAGGAGCTTTGGCTTTATTCACCAATGCTGTGACCACTAAACTACGAGGGTGTGACAACAGCAACAATTTTTCCTTATTAACTTGAGGTAATTTCAAATGGATAAAAATTAATGATTAATATTTCATATTTTTTGGACCGCTTAAGTCTTCCTTTTCATTGTAAGAGTTTTGTTATTTCTAGTATTTATCTCAAGCTTTTGTAACTTCGATTTATCATCGCATTTGTAAGCTTAAGCGATCGTTGCCTCCTCTTATCTCTTCGAACTCCGTATAAAACAAGAAATCCGAATTGAATCACACTGACGAACAGTTATATATATTGCAGGAAAACTAGATAAGCACCCCTAAAATTTATATCTCTTGAAGAAATCCAAGTAGTAAATTCTTATACGTATGACATTTTCCCTTTCACTTCAACTGAAAGTTGTAAAATAATTTAGCAAAAGAGTATATGATACCATCGGGTTTACAAGGTAGAAACTCAATATTTGCCAAGTTTAAAATTCGTGCATGTTATCATCAATTATAATCAAACACTGTGATTTTTATAGAAGGTACAATAAAGTTTTTATGTCTATTTTAGGAGCACAATTTTTTATATAGATATATTTCATTCGTTGTGTTTTTAACAGTCAGGCATTTTTTTATTAACATTGATATTCTTTTAGGTTTCCTTCTTTTGTAATTACTTCAACTAATTTAATTATATTGTAATATTCGTGGATTTAACAAATCAACTTTTAAGACTCACAACGACAAAAACTATGTATTTACACTGATTATTATTAAAGGACTTAAAAACACTATTAAATTATTACTAACTTAGGTGATGAATTACTCTATTTATTTACAGTACTGTTGATATATCACTATTCATTGCGCTGTCAATTTATTTCTAGATTCACTTCTGCAACGGTCAATTTATTTCTACTACTTTTTGGCGATCGTCTCTTCCTTTAAATACTCTTTTGTTTCCTTTCGGGAACCTTCTCGAGCCGTCCGTAAAGGTCTCTTTTTCTTTGAACTGTTTAATTGCTTTCCCGGAACGCAGGTACGACACACACATTTACAAATACGGCGCACATGAAGAAAGGCGCCCGCGGCTAGTCGGCGGATCGATAAGCCGTCCACGCACACGTGTGCCCGATCGCACACAAACACGCTCGTGCTCGCTACAATATGAAATGATAGACTTACCGATTTTTTTTTCTATTTTGACGACGATTTATTTTCCAGCCTTTATTTTTATACGGCATATTATATTAAGAAATGTGCCACAGTTTTAGAATCCGTTAAAGTTAAGGACGGATGGACTTAATCTATTGTAATTTTTTATATCAGTTTTTTTATACGTAGTGTAATTCTCTAGTGATTTAATGTGTACAGGCAGGAGTTACCTGGATAGAAACGAGGAAAAGGCGGATAAAGGTAGGTGGAAAGAAATTAGCATCTAGTAAGAAGATGTCAGAGACTGCTGTAAATAAACCGGAAGCGGTATTGGCAGAGGAGTACGGAATGAAAGTAAATAAAAATAAATAAAACATATTGGTATGTAAGGGAGGTTAAACTAGAGTTACGACTGATATAAAATTTGAAATGAAAAAGTAGGTCGCCGATTTTCGGAAAAGCAGTAAAGTAAACAACAACACAGAGCCGAATAGTTTTTAACAGAAAGAAATTATTTCTGTGCATAACCAAACAGTTAAGTTAGAAATTTGAAAACTATTATTAAGTGTACGTTTAAACACGACTCTGTACAGCTGCAAAACGTGGACAGAGCACCTTTTTGCTAGACGCATGAAGTAATAAATTATTCGTAACAAAAGAAGTTCGACAGAAATAAAAAGAAACGAAGATTTTCCGGTGAATTCGATGACAATATAAATAGACCAATGTTATCTGTTTTCTGATATAAATACCGTGTGCAATAAACAAGCATTTATAAATACAGAGTGGGATATGTAAGCAGTAATTTAAGTATCTAGTTAACGTTATTGTGTAAAATAAGTTACTGAATTGACTTGAATTGAATGACTACTTTATAAATTTTAAGGATGCCTGTAAGTTTATTTGAAGTACATTCTGAATTTCTTCAACAGGATGGAACAATTCGCGTTGATAATAATACCCACACTGGCACTGTTTTTGAGGGATAAAAAAAAATTTATATGGTGGTCGATGATCTTTGACACACATTCAGGACATCAATGCGTGCGAAGCTCCGGTAAAACCTATCATGAAATTTTGTATTCACATTGTTAGTGGTACAGAAAACGACATAGGGTACTTTTCCTCAGGGGTATAAAAATTACTTTTATGTGGTACATGGAGAAAATTAAAGTTTTATGATAACGCAAAAATTACAATTTTCGATTGTAAATGACTGAATTTGCCATAGAAATAGTAGAATTTATTAAGTGACTTGTAATAACATTTTAACATGTTTCTTTAAAAATTATTACAAGTTTCTTAATTATTACAAGTAAATTTGTAATATCAACTAAAATACCTAATCCACGAATAAAACCTATTAAATAAGGTAATGTAAGCCCAATAAACGCAATTTACGCTTTTTTCAAAAGATTTCGAGAGTTCGTTCGGTTTAGGAGAGCTTTCAGACGAGAAGGAAATATTTTCAGATAGACGTGGTTGAAAAATATATTTCACACAGTCACCAAATTATGTATTTTCTCTCTTGGGACATAGAAAAAAGGAGAAGTGCCGATAAACAAATGTGTAATTTCTGTGTTCGGTGGACATTTTCTCTTATCTGTATAATAAGATTTGGGTGATACACGTGTCTGCTCAGGAACGTTTATTGTGGTAAACTGGGATGAATCTCATTTTATTTATTTGGAATGTTTTTTTAGCACCCAGCTTCGCCTCCCCGGCCGGTACCGTCGCAACCGCTATGTCCCTGCATTTTAAATCTGTAATATCATCGCAAATATATTAATTTAAATTACATGCTGTAAGCGGCTGTATTGATCTATATTAAATGCACAATGTATTCAAGGTACTTATTTGGATAAGAATTAATGCTGTATTTCTTAAAATCGCTTCGTAAATAAGCCATTAGTTCTCATAAAAAGTAAAGGATAAAAATGGTTATTGTGGCTTATCCCTAAGAGATAGACATATACCATCCCGGACTTTTTTGTAGACCTCTTTAAGATGTACAATACTGTAGCACATTATTTTGATCTATCCCGTAGGGTTCAGCCAGCGTTTGCAATGTAAGCGCAAAAAAATGTGTTTATTTACGAAACCACATTAGAAACCTCTAAAATTATTAGTGTTTCTCTACTATATTATGCATGTATTATACATATAAACCTTTCTCTTGCATTACTATATCTATTAAAAGAAACCGCATTAAAGTCCGTTGCGTAGTTTTAAAGATATAAGCATACATAGGGACAGATAGCGGGAAGAAACATTGTTTTATACTATGTAGTGATTAGATTCGTTCGATGGAAATTTTATAGCTCGAATCAAAACGTCATTAATGGAAAATGAGTAAGCACCACATTGATTATTTATTACTAATGTTTTATCATTCTTTGTGCTGAAAAACACGATAGCATTCGTACGCATTCTTGTTCCAGTCGGTAATAGGGTTATGTTTTCGTATAAAATGTTCCCTGGTAAAGTAGACTTTTATCAAGAAGATTGTGCCAAAGGGTGAATTTTCTATTTATTGAGTTATTGACTTTCTTTTGCCTTAGAAGTCAATTTCCAAAGTAATATAGTCAATTTACCGAGTGTCGTCGATGTTGCCTCTGATTTAATTCTTCCCGTCCTTTCTATTCCCTATAAAATCGAATTAGGGCTTCTGTAGGGAAGAGCTCGTTAAGATTTTCACTTAAAGAAAATAAATTGGTTTATGTAACGCATTTAGATAGGTACATTTTTGAACGGTCTTTAACTTCATTCCTTTTCTCACTTTTCTACAGAATAGACAAAAAAAAATTTAATATAATTTTATTGTTCAAAAATTTAAGATGAACTTTATTCATGTTATTTTCAATTTTCTACTAAAATAATGTTAAAAATTGTATTGTAATTTTGTTCTTCTCATATGTAGATGATAACTTAACTAGAAGATGACGTATTACCAGAATTTTTTTAATTATCATCATAGGGTGCTTAGTCAATAAAAGAATGAAGTTTGTTTACAGATTCTTTCAGTAATTATTTTCATTTTGGTTGCAATATAGGTGAATGTCACTTTTAAGTTCTGTACGTACCAAGGGAATAGGTACAGTAGGCGTAAACTATTGTATTAATACAGATAGGACAGTGGCGTACTTGGAAACAATATCGAAACATAACTTATCAAGAAAAAGAAATAAACCTAATACTTTTGTTTGTTTTGTAATACCTTTTCACATTCACTGTTCTCATCGGAGTTACTACCACTGTCACCCCACATCAACAATTACTATAGTTCTTCTGTTTGTATGTCTATTACTTGACCATGATCTAACATAACATTTAAATATATCATGTTAAGCTAGATTATTGCGCCTGTTTCTTTTTGATATAAATTTTAAATATCTACAACAAGAAAATCAACTCAAAAAGTTAAGTTTTTAAATTTAATTTTCTAAACTGATCTCTGCTTTTAAGTATTTAGTCTACGCCCCTGATATGGATACTGAAGAATAAGGACTCGCCAGGCCTGTATATTGCTGCTAGGTACAACGAAACGTAAAATCTGTAGATACATCGTTATATCCTATGGTAATGGTAAATTAGGAACCGAACTTATAGATTTTCCATTACATGGTATAGGGAAATTTTTACAAATACTTTCACTCATCAAAACGACTTAACCGAATGACTTTTTTTTGAATAATTTTAGTGTACTTCAACCCCTAGCTGTTATTACATTTATTCCAAATCACGTATTCCCTTTTCGGAAATTCAGTCAACTAGAAAAACATAAACTACAGGACACTTACTTCTGTATCGTAAAAGATATCCTCCTTTTATTTGTTTCCTAGGTGATCCTGGAACAAAAAAGTATATTTTAAAACATTTGAAATTACTGCTAAAATTTATAGATATACATACGTATATTTCAAACTTTTGTTTCCAAACAATTGATGTTTTTTTCTGAAAAAAGTCATAGGTGGTTACAAGTTAATATTATGCAAGGCTTGTTTCAGTTGTGCTTATTTCTGTTTTGATTTTTATCATAATACTAGACACAAATCGCAACTTGTTAACTTATTGCTTCCTAACGTTTCGCTAGGACGAGTAGTGAGCTTCTTCACGGGTCCTTTCATCTCCTCATCCACCCGAATCAGGACGGCACTGGCTGTAAAAGCCTTTACCAATTTGCTCCTAATTTTTGTCTCTAAAAGTACCTAATTTCGGTATTTTTAAAATTAAATTTAGCCATTTTGTTGTGCCAATTACGCAAACTTGATTAGGTAACGTTTGAAACATCTATAATTTGTAGATTTTACGTTTTCTTTTTTTATTTAAAAGTTAAGATAAACATTAATTTGTTTACAATTGTTTTCTAATGATATTTAAGGGAAAATCTCCTAATTCGATTTTTCTCATTCAAACTGTTTTCAGTAGGTACCTTTGGAAGTAATTTTAAGCCCATGGAAAGCCTAGGCGGAGGGGGGGTATATGTTTGAGGACATGGGTTTATTGAATTGATTGATTTATATGTATGTATATATGAATAATATAGCATCATATGCGTTGTTTCTACTAGAGCATTAAGCTTTCGATTCGGGCGTTTGAAAAATAGTGTGAAATCAACCAATTTGTATTTCCACGTCGGTATAATTGACTTAAACCTGCACAGCGTCGCTGATTTAATGAAATTTTCACTTCGGCAATAATTTATTCTAGCAATTAGTGAGCGTTCGAAAACTGCGACGACAAAGGAATATCTACGTACGTATGCCCGTATTTGTACATGCATGTTACATTAAAACAGGTATTTGTCGATGGAACCTATTTACTGATATAATTGCAAACGTCTTAATTAGTGTTTGTATAATTTATTGTCGTTAATGATAAATAAGATGAATTTTCACCCCTTCGAATGGTTTATTTTGTGACTTAAGTAACGTATTGTACAGTGACACAAACACAAATCATAATATAGTATGAATAATTCATACACTACTTATAATGTACTATGTAAATTTGCAAATTATTTCTCGAAATCAGCTTTTAAGTATTTTGACAAAATGGTTCCGTTTTCGGAAAACCTGGTTTCAAGGACTTTTAATATTTAAATTTAATACAATTAAACCGATATCCTCTACTATTGTAACCAACTTTTTAGTATTCCAGTTATTTAAATGTCGTAAGTTCAAGAATATATCGAATCCGTGTTGTTTTGTCTTGAAAATCAAGACAATATTAAAGACAAGATGCTCACATATGAGATCAAGATCCAATTCAATCCAATCCAGATTCTTAAAACCGCTTGAATATCTATCTCGTTGTCGAATTGGAACTACCGGTGATGCAAAGTTAAAACAGTCGATATGTTGCATTTATGCTTCAGGTATGCAAAGATGAGATCAAAATCTTGAAGTAATACACTAAACATCTACAAATAAGGCTACATTTCTTTGTTGATATTTATTCTTTTTGTTCCATGTTCGAAAATACATAATTTGGTAAGCGTGTGAAATATATATTTTTTTTAGCCATTTTTAGGGTTCCGTACGTCTGAATGAGTAACAGAACCCTTATAAGATCAGTCGTGAGTCTGTCTGTCGGTTTTTATTTGAAAATGTTAGCTGTTTCTGTAAAAACTGGCTAAACTAACTTATCTCAAAATATTTTAAACTAAGAGTAATACCCCTCAAATTCTTTAAACTAAACTGCATTTATTGAACATATATTATATTATTATTAAATGAAAATAAGGCTAAGAGTAGTTGCCTATATGTACCTTATTTCATTATTATCGTTGTTTACTCGTTCTTTCGTGTAGTATTTTTATATTGTGCCCTAATATCGACTGTTTCCCAGCCGTTGGGTTTATTGTCTATTTACTTATATATTGTTATAAAATATTCTCTTCTCGTGCTGTATTTGGAGCGTTTTTAAAAGGTGCCGCCGTATTGATCGCCGCTTGCGGCTTTCGTTAATAACGCTGCCCTTTCTTTAAAAGGATGATCCATCCCAGATCATATCTGCCATTAGTTCAAAAGAGCATACCAAACATTAATGAAATCCACTATTTTGCTTTGTGAGGACTCTCTTCGGGAATTGCCAGAGTGCATCGATGTAATAAGAGCAGAAGTTTATAGGATACAGTTCGATAAATATTGATTTTATTATATCTTTAGTGAAAGTTTCTGTTTCTAGAAAGCTATTTCTAGGTAATTTTTAAGGAAAAACGGGTATGTTACGGTTCTTATCTATTTCTGTCACGTCTGTTAATGAAATTAATAATCGACTTGCATTATGAATTCGAAATAGGCTTTTCATCTCGAGTATTCAAGATGTAATGTTGACTGACAAGTGCTTATGTGACGTGTTTTAAAATTGCTGAAGGAGACACTAGCAAAGTTGCTTATTTCGCGCGACGGAAACGTTCCCACAACATGACGGGGTAATTTTGAAAAGACGCTAACTCGATGTAGCCATAAACCTATATATAAAGATGGCGCGATACATTGATACGTAAGCAGTTTTCAAAGAACTTCATTAAGCCGTGGCCTATTTATTGTGCCACTCGAACAATCGCAAGAAAGGCAAGACACTTCTCCATACCAATCATCCATCTACCGTAGGAATTATTAGGTAGTCATTATATTAAGACTAGAGACTGCATATTTGGGACATTTATCGGAAATTTTAAGTGTGTATCACAATTGTAAGTACTACATAAAAAATCCGGTCAAGTACAGGCTCGGCTCACGCACGGAGACTTTTGAACTATCATTTCTGCATGAGAACATGCTCTTATTAGCTGATTTTTTATGGGCTTTATTGTTAACACAGGAAATTATCAAGCGTAAGATCTTTCCGCAATTAAAACTGAACCGTAGTAAAAATATTAACGAATTAAATTCGTTGGTGTAGGAACTTCACTGTATTTTTCGTGTAAAATTAAAATAAATGTATAAAAAATGGAATCGCGTCAGGCGCGGACACGATAAGGTTCCGTAACTGCTCATTACTTAAATGTATGGCGTGCTGCAAGAAGAAGACAAGTTTGTGAACAAGAACAAGATATGTCAAGAATTTCTTGTCAAGGAATTAACAAGAAAAATGAAGTAAAAGACGAAGTTTTGAAGTAGACCATCTACTAAAAAAAGTGCAATACTTGCCTACATACATGGTTTAACTTTAAAAAATAGAAAATTGATATTTATCATGAAACAATGATTCGGGCTTGGGAGTTGACATAGGTACAGACAAATAGACAGTTGAAAGGTAGGTAAATTATAAACTTTTTCGCTGTTGTGGAATGAGATGTTGAGATCTCCTTTGGTCTCCACTTCACTTCTCTATCGAATATCGACTTTAACTTATGATCATCGTGGTTTTGACAGATATTCAGAATTTTGTAGAATTTCAATAAATTAAACTGCACCATAATTTTTAATAATTAAGGAGGGGTCCGAAAATTCAAAAAAGGTTGTTAAAGGTGTATGTTTGGAGCGTGGCGTTGTACGGGTGCGAAACATGGACAGTGGGCTCGGCGGAAAAGAAAAGGTTAGAAGCCTTCGAAATGTGGTGTTATAGGCGAATGATGAGGATAACATTGGTAGAAAAGGTTAGAAGTGAAGAGGTGTTAGAAAGAATAGGATAACAAAGGACTCTATGGAAGTTAATAAAAAATAGGCGAGAAAGGTTGGTAGGACACCTTCTCAGACATGAAGGTCTAGTCAGAGATATATTAGAAGCAGAAGGATAAGTTAGGAGCGGTAGAGGTAGAGGTAGGTGAGATTATTGTTCGCAAATAGTTAAGGATGTGGGTTCTTCTAGTTTTATTAGGGAAATGCGAAGTTTAGCTCAGGATAGGAAAGAGGGAAGCTACGTGTCCAACCAGTCTTAGGACTGACGACCTTATGATGATGCCAAACCATTTTTTGTACGTTTTTACCAAATTAGGTAGGTATTGCGATTCATGTTTTTAAATCCATCATACTTCACCTAATTATTAAAGGAACTTAGTCCACGACAAAAACAATTTTTTATTTACATTACAACGGTTAGAAAAATTTTTCATTTAGAAATGGAAATACTTAGGGAATACTTTAAAAAGCTATAGGTATTTTCTCGGATGATCCTTTTAGGCAATTTGAGAATTTTTGAAAGTAATGTATTTTGTCCAATATCTGTCTTATTGATGATCTACGGTTTCTACATGTCTACATTTCAATCGCAATTTAGTTTTGTACGAAAAGTTAACCCTTTTCAAGTCTTTCGCTTTGTATACTTCCGTTTGAAATATATAAAGGCATGTAAGAGAGCCAGACTGAGTGGAATTTATTGCTTTTGTTCGAGAGAGAGTAAAGCGCCGGATTTTATGGAGTTTCTCAAAAGTACTGGGTAGATATCGACTATCGCTCGTTTTACTTAATACACAGAAAAGAATTCGATAGGATGGTATTTCAATAAGTTGAACAGTTTTGAATTCTCGATATAGCAAGAGAGCATTAAAGGAAATTCCTTATATATATATATATATATGTGTCTACTCTACCGTTACTTTGTGTGTATAGCCTTGGAGGACTTGTAAGTGTTACTTGAAATTAAAGCCTTGCAAATTTTATGGTTCTTTAAGCGAGAATAAAATTTTATTGAAAAGAGATACAGAAATAGCACCACCATTCGATTCGATAGAAGTTGGTGACATTAAAAGGTTTAAACCGTGTTCATTACATTCAAGGATTTTTTTATCGTGCTGGATTAGAATTTGTCGGCTCGAAAGCTATTAAAATCTCTCAATACAATTTTAATTAACCAATCCATTAAAAAATAATGTAATTATCACGAAAATGTTATAAATAAA